ACACACACACACTCACACAAATATACTGTAAACACTCATATACTTCTATATAAGTATATGAGTGTCCTGACTGGAGATTCTGGGTCTTTAACTGCACCTCTAAATAGCAAGAAATGAATAAGAGACATCTCCTCATGGTGTCTTTACAAGCTAGTGCTCATATGGGAAATTGTTCAGCATCTGAAACGTATGCTGTGCATTAGACTTTTATGTGTCTGCCTCTTGAAAACATTTTCCCCATCTGTGGACAGGGGTGCAGAAAATGGCTGTTCATTGTTAACATCTTCTGCACTTACAGTGCATTTAATGAAGGATTGGATTACTGATGTGAGTAAATTTGCATGAGTATGTTAACGCACCTCTGTTTTAGGGAACTCTGAGTATGTGAACTCCACTGTGGGGACAGCAAGTTGACTGGAGAAAAAGCTCAAATCTCCAGGTGTCTGCAGCGAACTGACATTCCGACCAGGACAACCACCTCCTCTGCTGCAGCTCATCGAATGTCTCTGAAAGAAAAACACATGTGCGTCATGACAATTTGTGAGAATATACACCAATCTACAATGCAATCTTATCACACTATAGTTATTCTGGTCAAGGCTATGTAGGGCTGGGCAATTTGGCAAACAATTAAAATCTCGATTTTTTCAGAACGTTTGACCGATTCTCGATTTTTTACGATTTTTTAACTAGTCAACTTAAAAATTTAACTACAACATGATTCAAGATGACTTTTTCTTTATTAACCCTCTATTTAAAGAAAATTCTATTCCAAGTGCACTACACATGAAGTTGTCAACATGATGAAATGTTAAACAAATCACTTGTTAAGTATCTATGCAGAAAAGATGAACTACAACTACATCTTGTACAAACTTGTCTTATACATATTATATGTTCAGATAAAATATGAGGAAAATGCTTTAAAAAAATCTCAAAAGTCAAGGTAATTTGCAATGCATTTAAGGCAATGCATTTATGTAAGGAGCGTTTATTAATATTTTCTCACTATGAGAGATATGTTGAGAGATGAGTACGAAAAGTGAATAATGAAAAGTGTTTCTTTTTTTTTAATGTGGAATGTGAGTTGAGGGTGTTTAAGTATTTCTAATATGTGATGTTCATGAAATATTTGCATTATTGCTTTCTAAATATGCTTTTTATTGAATACCTGCAGGATTGTCCTTGTTTTCAAGAAAATTAATTTCTTTCCATTTAGAGTTCATTAAAGTTTGTATAATTTGTAGTTTCTCTCCACACAATAAGAATATGCTTTTAAATCTAATTTGTAGTTGCATATAATGCGCATCACTAAAGTCCTGCCTAAACCCTGAACTGCTATTGATTTCTCATTGAGTGGTGGTTTAGGATTAATCTGTTTTGGTTGAAACTGGCCCTCAGATATTTAATATCCTAAAGGTTTAACTGCATTGATCACAAAACTGCTGCTAAATGAACAGATTCTGTTCTGCTGTACAGCAACTGACATGAGCCATAATATATATTACTGTTTGTCAACATACAGAAATACATGCGCAGCTATGTAAACCTCAAACAAGTGCAAATGATGACTGGTGGGGCCAAAATCAATGTAAATCTATACAAACATTGTTTGAAAGCATAACGCAGAAACAAATACAGATTGCTGTTACAATCAACTGTAACCAACAGCAGTAATCAGAATAATTCATATCAGACAGGCCCTGGAAAACAAACATAACAGCTGCAGCTGGACTCAAGGCCTGGTATAATTCTTTTTCTGTTCCGCACTATAGACTAAAATAAAACTAAACTAAACTAATGTGTGTGTGTGTGTGTGTGTGTGTATTTTTTCCTCTCCTGTAACTTTTTTCTGAAAGAAAGAGACCAGACTTCTTGGGTTCTGGGTGAAGAAATGAGAAGAGATTTTTCAAAGACTTAGGGAATATTTCTGATTAATCTTTGAATACAAAAATGGAAGATGCCTAAAATATGAATAAATATTTTAAATATTTCAAATAAAAATGAATAACATTTGATTAATAAATGTATGCATGTACTTTAATTTCTAAAAAAATGCATACTTATTTGGAGAAAATATTTATAAGTAAAGGAATGTTGTTTAAATCTGTCTAAAATCTGATTTAAAACAGGATATGTATAACTGTTATCCTAAGAAGTTATTTCTTCTTTTAAAAGTTTAACAGAATCAAGTTTATTCAGTAATATAATTTTTTTTTTTCAAACTGTTACCAATTTTTAGGCCATTAGACAAAACATTTTAGTGCACTATTAGTATTTTATGCAGCACTGTCACATTTTGCCCTGGGCCAATTAGTACAGGCATTAGTGTTCATTCATGTTCACACACATTCGGTGAGTTACTGTAATGTGCTGATATTATACTCTGATTGACATCCTGATGAAGCGCTTTCCCCATTAGTTTAGCAGGCCTCATTAAAATGATCCATCCAAAAACAAACAAACAAAAATATACTCACAATAAAGAAAGGAACAATTAAATTTAAAAGAAACAATTCGCTGAAGCAATCAAATAACGTAACTATTGCTCAAAGAAAAAAAAATGAGTAGAATAGCTCTCTGTATAATGTAGGGAATACATTGTTCAAATATCTTTTATTTTATTTTATTTTTTATATTTAGTTATTTTTAGTTCTATCAAGCTTGCAATGATACTTTTATAATGACATATACCTTATAATTATTTAAATTAGTTCATAAACAAACTTTAGTCTACCTCAGTGTTAATGTGGTTAATTTGTCTGACTAAACAAAACTGCTTTTTTTCATTTATAAATGATTTGGGCCACAGGAACTGAAAAGTAGCGGAGGGGGGCACATAATAAACTGCATTATCAGCTTGACTCATTAATATTAATTAAGTGACATGATGATTTGCAAAACAGTCGTATATGCCCCCTCGTGTGTCTATTTTTGCACTGTGCATGGATTACTGTAACATTCGGTGCTTCATTCTGAAAAAAAGTGGACTCCATCTTCATAGGCAGCAAAAGCCATTAAAGTCAAAATTAGCCACAAATTCCTGAGGTAAAATGTGACAGCAGAAACGGCTTGGGAGCGGCGAGAAAGAGGGAGAATAGGTAATTTCTGCACAGCAATTCTTTTTCCCTGTGGGGAGAATCAATATTTAATTTCTCTGTCTGCAATGATAACGAGATGGCAAAATCATTGTTTATATATTTGAGCTTGAATAGACCTGTGGGTAGTGAGGAGAGAGAGGAAGTTGCACTGGCAGATAGCCACAGCAAATGAAGCTGCTCATCCACTCAGCTGATGGGAAGCAAACAGCATTGCCTGCTAAAGACCATTAGCAAATGAGCAGGCTTTTACCATGCCATTGTGATCACTGTGATCCAGTGACTGACAACTTCCACATCTAAACACAAACCACCCACACATAATCACAGGCAGCCAAAGGAACGATCAGTGGCATAAACAGCGTCTCTTTAACTACAGGCACCTGTCCTGGGGGCTGAATTAGTTGAATTTGTTGTATGTTTTCATGAACAATAATTTTAAATGCAGTTACTATACCTAAAAAGTATTCTTATTCATACACAAGCTTTAGTTGACCTCAACAGAAATGTTGTTAATTTGCCTGACTATACAAAGCGGCCATTTATTTTCCTTTCAGAAATTATTTGGGCCACAGGATCTATAAAGCATGCTGGGGGTTGATTTTTTTAATTAAAACTAACAGATTTGATATAACCGTTTGTTATGTGAAGGGACATAAATAAATAAATAACCATGCCTTCATCATTTAGTTTAAGCCACTACTTTATATATCTATACACAGTGTCGTTCAAAAGTTTGGGATCAGTAAAATTTTTAATGTTTTTTAAAGAAGTTTCTTGTGCTCATCAAGGCTGTATCTGTTTGATCACAAATATAGAAAAAAAAAGCAATTTTGTGAAATATTATTGCAATTTAAAATAACATTTTTGTATTTTAATACACTTTAAAACATAATTTATTTCTGTGACGCAGTGCTGAATTGTCAGCATCATTACTCCAGTCTTCAGTGTCACGTGACCCTTCAGAAATCATTCTAATATGCTGATTTATAATCAATGTTGAAAACAGTTGTGTTGCTTAATATTTTTTGGGACCTGTAATACTTTATTTTAGGATTCTTTGATGAATAAAACGTTAAAAAGAACAGTTTTTATTCAAAATAGGAAACCAATATTAGAAATTGCAATAATATTTCACAATATTACTGTTTTTATTTTCTGTATTTTTGATCAAATATATACAGCCTTGATGAGCATAAGAGACTCCATTAAAAAACATTACAAATCTTACTGAACGACAGTGTATATGTAAATATATGGATGGATGAATGGACGGATCGGGGAAAAATTACTAACGTATGTACATTGCTGGTCATTATTAGTGGATAAATTAAATATTGCAAGTGTCAAAATGTGTTTTATGAGAGTTTATTGTATAAAATTGACAGGGGCCAAAGCTGTTAAAGAAATAGTTGAAGAAATACCCAGAATGGCCAGATCCTTTCCTGAATGCTTCCCACTGTTCGCTGTACACCATTATTTCAGTCAAGCTGTGTGCGCTAAAACTGCTTTGGAATGAATGGAAAAAATCACTGCATACAGTAAGAGGTACCTGAGATAATTCATCAATTCACAGCTGCAAAATGACTATTTGTATTTGATAAAATATGACATCAAACTAAAATTTCTTACAGCACAAAGATAAAACGACAGTGAGAATGCGGGGGAGAGAGAGAGAGAGAGAGAGAGGGAGAGAAGGGCCAGCACATCTGTGAACAAAACTGTTATCTCGTTCTGAATGTGCTGGAGACGGAGAATGACCTTGCATTGTGGAAATAATTTATTCTCAGAGAAGGTGACCTTTGGAAATTACATTTGCAGGGAAGTGGAATTGGAACCACTGATACATTTATAAAAAGAAGAGACAAAATGGATGAATAAGACTGAGATCATTTAAAACAAAACAAAAAAAACAACAAGAAGTGTGTCACTGTGCACAATGTGAGAGGTCTGCCATCACCGTACAGATGGTGGCGCACTGGAGCCTTTTAAATTGAGAGGACAAATAAAAGCTTATTTTTTTGCCTAATGCATCCATTAAAATGAAAGAGTAATATGGAAATCATTTGAAAGTGTCTCCAGTGGCAGTTGCATATGAAAAAGACCTTTCGAAATGTGATGCTACGATGCTCAATGAAAAAGTTTTTCCTGTTTTATGGCAACTAGTTATTAGACAGAAATTGACATGACTGCTTTCTGAATGAAACCTAGTAATTAACAGCTTTTAGCGTCTGCTCTGTTTTCGTGCCCATTATTCACTCCTCTAAGTGACCCTTTTTTAAACACAGAAACATCCATTTGTCTAGTACCGAAAGAGCTTGAATGTTTGCTCATAAAATATTTGTTTAATTAAACACCTGGATACACGTGGCACAACTTCGAGCTTAAGCTGCTAGCAGAACGGGTTA